TGCCAGTTTATGGAAGGACTGGGAGCTTTTGCTTTCTGAATTTCTGACCTTTTTGATCCAACTCTAGAACAAGCACTGAAGAATTTCTTCACTGTGGTTACCTTGTGGAACTTCTCACTGGTTTTCTTTTCTTCAAATTTGGAAAATGTAATAGAGGGAACCAACCTCCTGACTGCTCTGAGTGCTGCTGGCCAAGGCCTCTTCCTTTTCCTGCTGAAGTCCTTCCAGATCTGCTTCTCTTGGGCTCTGTGGTACTCCTCTCTCTAGCACATGGAGCAGAAGTCATGCCAGGCATGGTTGCCATAAGAGCCACATCTCTTCTTGCACAGGAGCTCCAATTTGTCCATGTGGGTCCACATGAATTCCTAGGCTCTTGGACGTAAGGCTCATCTTCTTTCTGCTGGGTGGCCCCTGGATCCAAATTGAGTATGCTACTGAACAGTTCAGCTTCCAAGGAGCCACTCAATGATTGTGGATACCTTCTCAATCTTCTTGCTCCTGGGTAGTGCTATGGGACAATGCATGTGTGGACATCCTCCTCATTATGCCTCCCACCTGGGTTCCAGAATGAGAAAACATTCAGAAAGTATCCAAGTCAAGTTATAGTCAACTTGAAGTACATCCTTAGTCCACATGTACTGTGTGTGTGAAATCAATGTTATAAACCACTCAGCTTTGGGGTTGTTTCAGACACAATGTAATTTATTTGCAATATGGCTTTACAGGGAGAGAGACATAACTTTAGAAACCTATTTTGCTTAAGGAACTTGGAAAAGAATGCCTCTTACAATCAGTTATTATTATTGGGAGGAGGGTGTGTATAAACACAACTGTCTAATAGCATGTACTTTGTGAAGTCCAAAAATTAAATGGAGAGAACATAAGACTCCTTTGTGCATTGTAGCATGCTTTCCCTACCAAAATTTTCAGTCCTAAATTAAGCACTAAATGGCACAGGGAAAAGTAGGTGTTTGCTGTAGGATGTGGTGAGCAGGTGGAATCAATGTAGCACAAGGCCTTAGAGCTCAAGCAGGGAAAGATGACAATGAAGAGGTTTAGATTGACAGTGGTATTAGAGCTCATGAAATGTGAAGAAAACCTCACTATGGTGGTGAGTGTCCTCTGGCACGGATAATTAGAGCCTGAGCATGGTGAGAAGGCTGTCCACAAGTGGCAGTGGCCCAGAGCAGAGTAGCAGAGGACAGGAGAATTGAGGAAGTGTGCACAATAGGGGAAGGCTGGTATGAGATGTCAGTCCATGAGAAGAGGCCATGTATGTGGTGGTGTGGTCAGGTATGCGGAATATAAGTTAAGCAGGATTGAAAAGTCATCCATGCATGCAGTCACTTTTTGTGAGAAGTCAGAGCCCCTTTTGGACCAGGAGTGAGTCCCTGGAGAGGTGCAGCCTGGCATAAAATCTCAGCATCTGGGAGAAGCTAGTAGACACTAATGAACAGTGTTAGTTTGGATTCAGTGCTTAAGTGGGGTGAGGAAGACATTTTTGCGGAAGATAAACCTATGTGGATTTCAGAGACCAGGCAGGGTAAACAGGGTTTCTGCATGTAGACAGTCCGGTTTTGGAGTTCACCACATAAGCAAGGTACTGAAAGCATTTAAATTTTTTTTTTGTTACATCTTACTTTTGTTATAGATGACAGTAAAATGAAGGATGTATTTCAGCAGAAAATACATACATAAATATGACTTAATCTATTTTGATGTTCCCAATCTTGGGATCGTACGTGATATGGAGTTTCCCTAGTCATGTATACAAGTACAAGCATAGGAAAGTTTTGACCAATTTATTAGACCTTGTTTCCTATTCACCTCCCCTGCCCTTTTCTTCATTTTCCTTTGTTTAGTCCAATCTTTTTCTATTATTCCCCTCTCCAACCTCGCTTGTTTTGGGTTAGCATCCACACATCAGAGAGAATAATTGGCCTTTGATTTTTGGGGATTGGCTTATTCATTTGGCATTTACTGGCAATATATCGATATTTAATTCTTTTTTATGGCTAATACTCTTTTGTGTATACACACCACATTTTCTTTATCCATTCACCTGTTGAATGACACCTAGTTGTTTATGTAGCTTGGCTATTGTGAGTTGAGCTGTTACAAACATGGATATGGCTGTGTCACTGTAATATACTGGTTTTTCAGTCATTTGGGTGTATGCAGAGGAGTGGGATAACTGGGTCAAATGGTGCTTCCATTCCAAGTTTTCTAAGGAAACTCCATACTGCTTTCCAGAGTGATTGCATCAATTTGCACTCTCACCAGCAATGTATGAGAGCATCTTTCTCCCCATATCCTGTCCAATGTTTATTGTTACTTGTATTCTTTATAAATGACATTCTGACTGGAGAGGGAATCTCAGTGTATTTTTAATTTGCATTTCTCAAATTGGTAGAGATATTGAATAGTTTTTCATGTATTTTTTGACCATTCATATTTCTTCTTCTGTGAAGTGTCTGTTCTGTTCCTTTATCCATTTATTGACTGGGTTTTCATATTCATGAGTTAAGTTTTTTGAGTTCTTTGTATATTCTGAATTTAATGCCTTATCTGAGGTACTTGTGGTGAAGATTTTCTCCCAATCTGTAGGATCTCTGTCCATGTTTTTGATTGTTTCAAGAAGGCATTCTTGTTGGCAGCGGAGGACCTGGCATAGGATATCAAAACCCAAGCAGGATGAGGAAATTATCTACACAGAAGATAGATGTGGTGTGGGTTTCAGAAACTGAGCTGGATAAAGGAGCTCTCCACATGGTGGCAAACCCCAGAGGGACAGACTGATCCTTACATGGTAAGGACTTCTATCCATGGGAGTAACCTTGGAGCAAAATTAATGAATGGAGGTTCATGTGGGCTGTGAGAGCTCAGGCAGGCCAGGGTGGCTACAGATAAGCTTTAACAATCTGGTCTGTGTCATCCTTAAAGAAAAGTAGAGCAGTAATACACCATGTCCCTGAAACAGCCCTTTCTATTTCCAAGAAACCAGCCAAATTAAGGGAACTCTATGAATCATCCTGGGCTAGAATGCCCAGGTGAATACTGTCTTGTAGGACACTGACTCTTATTTTCATGTATGTTGTAAATTTGAGGTGTGGCTTAGCACAGGGTGTCAGACCCTCAGCAAGGTGAGGAGAATGTCCATTTGGTGGGGTGCTGTTGGCTGGCCCTGTGTGGGAACACTCAATTAGAGGGTAGAGGTCTATGGTTTAGGGGAGAAGGGATTGGCTAGGGAGCAAGGTATGTATCGGGGAGAAAAGAGTGCCTTAGGGAAGAATGGCACAAAAAATGAGAGATTGGTAACATCCAGAGTGAAATCTAATAAGTTAACAAAACATGAAAAGTTAAATATAATGAACACAAGTTTCTTTCTGTCACTGATATGTGAAAGAAATGTGAAAATTGAGAAAACAAAAATAAAATCTGAGGCATTGAATTAGAATTAGGAATATTATTGTGAATTTAGTGTTTTCAGTATATTTTGATATAAAAATAAATGTAGAAATAGAATGGAAACAAATATAGAGGTGAGAGAGAGGGAAGGAAATGGAAGGGAAAAGATGGATTAGGTTTTGGACTGTCTTCATTTTGGCCTTTGGGAAAAAGAAAATAGATTTGGCACTCAATTTAAGTTCATCCTCTTCTACATATGATTCCATTTAATTTTCCCAACTGTTAAGTATAGTCATATTTACTTCCCAGAGCATATTATTAAGGTGGTGTGGGTGGTAAAGGGAGAGATAAGTGTAGAATAAAAGGTGGCGTCCTCTTTTATTATGGCTTTCAGGAGTTCTGGAGGTGACCAGTAGCAAAATGAATGAATGAAGGTTCATGATGGTGCTCATTGTGAGCAGCAGGGAAAGCAGAGATCCCAGAGGACACCTTCAGACTTTTACTTCCCTACCATGCTAAATGAAGGTGGCTCTGAACATGGGGAGGTTGTCATGTGAGAATTGTGTCAATGACCACCTTAGAATGTGGCCAGACACATCAATGTTTATAGCAACACAATTCACAATAGCTAAACTGTGGAGCCAACCTAGATGCCCTTCAGTGGATGAATGGATAAAAAACTGTGGCATATATACACAATGGAATATTACTCAGCAATAAAAGAGAATAAAATCATGGTATTTGCAGGTAAATTGATGCCATCAGAGAAGATAATGCCAAGTGAAGTTAGCCAATACCCCCAAAACAAATGCTGAATGTTTTCTCTGATATAAGGAGGCCTACTCATAGTGGGGTAGGGATGGGGAGCATGGGAGGAATAGAGGAACTCTAGATAGGGCAAAATGGTGGGACAGAGAGGAAGGGGGCAGGGGGTTAGGAAGGATGGTGGAATGTGATGGACATCATTATCCAAAGTACATGTATGAAGACATGAATTGGTGTGAGCATACTTTATATACAAACAGAGGTATGAAAATTTGTTCTAAATGTGTAATAATAATTGTAATGCATTCCACTGTCATGTATTTAAAAAATAAAACCAATAAAAAGATCCCCTCCCCCCCCAAAAAAAAAGAGTGAATAAAAAAGCTGCCTTAGCAGTCAGACATGATGATGTGAATGCAGCAGAACAAGTTGTTTGGCTAATATATTACACTTGCACGTGGACACCCTCACATTTCAGTTTTGCTGGTGAATTTATAAAATTAATTTCTTAGGAAAGACTTCTCCAATTGCTTGGTTCCTCTTTTTCTTTTCTTCATATTTGAGTTCCCACTTTTGTTACATTTGTTTATCTATTTTGACTATGTTTGAATGCTATAATTCTTTTTATGTTTGTCATGAAGATTGGATCCTGTGGCCCAGTGGTTTCACACGATTTCACTCTTAGGGGCTGTGCCTATTTATTACTTGGGCTCTCATCTATTTAAGTGGTAGGATAATTTGCTTTCAGGCTGGAACCTCACTTATAGTATGTTTTAAGGAAAATATCACATGGGATTTTTGAAAAAAGCAGAAGGTTTCCTCTCATGATGGCTTTGGGAAATCATGCTGAAGTGAGTTTGCAAAATGAGAAGTCCTCCGGCACCAACTCAAATTCTCCTGCAGGTAAAAATCATTTTCCAGTGGTCAAAGTGAATTGTGAGGTCAAGGATGAAGAGATAGTTGATAAGCAGGGCAGAGGTAATGTTAGTTGCTGTTTCTCTGAAGTGATTATGTCTGTGAAACCCAGGAACCTCTGAGGATTGTGCTGCCTGTAGATAGGAATGAAGGTGTTGTAGAGTTGCAAAGTGGGATAAAATAGATTCATAATACTTTCTTTACTATTATCATTTATAGATGATCAGAGTTTGGATTTTCTTGTGTATCCTTCCAGATATAAATATATAAAACTGTGTGTACCTATATTTCCAGAACTGAAAGAATATAATAGTGAGTTTTTCCTCCTTGAGATTGACAATGTACATAATTTTAAGAAAATTTTTTCTCTTTATTTGGTGTTTTAATCTTAATTATCTTAATGGAATGTGTCCCACTATTCCTCTCCCCTTTGGTAGTGACCAATTTCAGGGTTTTGTATATCCTAGTCAAAATTGCTGTAGCATGAATCTATACCCTCAGTCTAGAAAACGTTTTCTAACCATGAAACAGTGACTAAAAAGACTGACTTTATCTTAACAATATGAAATTTGGCCAGAAAGTTTTATCTTCTATAGCATACTTATAACTTGGACACAATCTAAAATATTATTTGAATATGAAATGAAATACTAAGAACCATGTTAAAAATATTAATAAACATCATGATGAAAAATGTTTGTAAAATAGTATAAAAGAACATGGTGAGTCAGAAATCAGTAAATATATATGTCAATGAAATGGAAAAATGTGCATATATGTTGTACACACTTCAAAAATTGCTGAAAGGACATGTGCCATACTTTGAAAACAATGGGGATACTTGTAGATCAACTAAAAATATTTTCCATTTTGAGACGGACATGAACTTTTGGAGACCAGGGGCAGAATATTATGGTTTGAATATGAGATGTGCCCTGAAAAGCTTATGTGGCAATTCAGGAATGTTCAGAGATAAAATAGTTATGAGAATCGTAACCTAATCAGTGCATTAATTTACACATTTGATGGATTAATAATTAGAATGGATTACTGGTTGGTAATCCATTATTACTAATATTAACAATAGTAATTGTCAATGGTAGACATTTGTGTTTGGGGTATTTTATAGTTTTTATAAATAAACACCATTTATTTTTCTTATTTCAATTTTAATATGATTTCAAATATTCATAGTATTAGTGATTGTGCTTTATGGAAGAAAATTGAAAAGTAGAAGAGGAGGATATTAGCTTTTCTGTCACTTCAACCAAAATACCTGATAAGAACAATTTAGAGGAGGAATCTTATTTTAGGATCAATATTTCTGAGGCTAGTCTATGGTGAGTCAGCTTCATCACTGTGGCCTTGAGGTCAGGCAGAACATCATAGTTGTAGGGCATGACAGAGGAGAGTTGATGGCAGCCAGGAGATCATGGAAGCTTCTACTGATATTTCAGAGAAAGACCTGACTGTTCAGGCAAAGTGAAGCCGTGTTGGAATCCCTGCATGATTCCCGTCAGAGGGCATGCATGAAGCTGTGAAGGGGAAGCTGAAGCTGGAATGGAGATCCCAGGGATTAAGATATGCCAGTAAAGTGGAATGTCTGCTGAGGAAAGCTGGTGGCTGTAAAGGGAGTCAGCCGAAGAAAGAGACCATGTGAATTACAACCAGCAAGGCCATTTAGGTGGTGCTGCAGAAGCTCTTTGAAGAATATATCACACCACAATATTTCCCAGATGCTGCACATGGAGTTACAGAAACTAATATCTACCAGACTGAATGTTGGTTGTTTTGGTTTTGTCCCTTACTTCTACATCCTTATTCCTCCTTTTTGGAATGGGAATGTTTACTTTATGCATCACATATTGGAAATATGTAAGTTACTTTTGATTTTTACAGAGGCTCACAACACATAGTTTGTCTTGAGTCTCAGAGGAGACTTTGGATTTGATCTATTGGGAAATTTTGCAGCTTTGAACACTATCGGGACTCTTCGAGATCAACTAAATGTATTTTCCATTGTGAGATGGACATGAACTTTTGGGGACCAGGGGCAGAATGTTAAGGTTTGAATACGAGATGTTCCCTGAAAAGTTTATGTGGCAATTCAAGGATGTTCAGTGATAAAATAGTTATAAGAATCATAACCTAATCAGTGCATTAATAAATATATTGGATGGCTTAATAATTAGAATGGATTACTGGTTTGGTAATCAGATCAGGTGTGGCTGAAAAAATTAGGTCACTGGGGCATGCCTTAGATCATATATTTTCATTTCCATTTCCATTTTCAATGGATGAATTGTAATTATACACAATAGTGGGGTTCACTGTTCCATATTCATACATGTACATGGTATGACAATATAATTTGATCAACATCATTCCTCAGTAGATTATATTTTTCCCCTGGCTCTTTGTTTGCTCTTTCTTCTTCCTGGCTGTCTTGAGCTGAACAATGTTACACTACCACACTGTTATTCTGTGATGTTTTACCTCACCTCAGTGCTAGAGCAGTGGAGAAGACTGACCATAGACTGACACCTCTAAAATCATGAACTCCAAATGAACTTTCTCTACTCTAAGATATTCTTGTCAAATGTTTTGGTCACAGTGACAAAAAGTCAACTCATAGAGGAGGATTTGGAAATAAGGAAAGAATTGCTTTCTGATGAATTAATTTGATTTATCCTTCAGATCACAATGAAAACATCATTCCTCATCTGAGTAATTTTGTTTTTTCCAAGCTTCTTGCCTTGCTGCTGATACTTTCCCTGCTGAAGGAAATCTTTTTGTCTGTCTCTCCTATCAGTAAGTATGCCAACTGGGTCAGTTAGCAATCCCTGCCTTTCATTAACAGAAACTATCCATTAGAACCTGACAGTGCACAATTATGCAGACAATCGAAAAATGAATATTCTCTTAGATGGGGGATAGAGTTCCTGAGTTTTCACTGGGAATTTTGTTTTTTCATGAATAATGGAATTCATGTTCATTTAGAAAATCTGAAGAGTAGATATGTGTGTATTGGCTGATGTTAGAATGAAACCAATGAGTCATCAGTTCTATAATAGATTCTGTGTGAGGATAATCTGTATTTATTTAAGAGCTTTTACAAGGCTAGTCTTATGTGACTTCACAGACATATTTTTGGATGATCAGGTGAACATGAAGGTGATGGAAGGAAATATTCCAGAAAGAGTTCCCAGTGAATTTCCTTCTAATAATTTCTGTCTGTCCCATTGTGAGATCTCAGGAAAAATCAATTTAACAAATGGGTGGATTTATGCATATGCTGTATTTCAGAATTTATTGTTTTCAAAAGTCATAAATCTCAGCATATATTAGGGTAGATATTTAATTCATTAATTTATTCATTTGATAAGTAACAATAGCCATACATATTATTTGCTAGGTGCTGTGTTAGAGATTCCAAAAATAACCACAGCCACTGGTCTCAAGATATTAAGAGAATTGTCAAAATAACCAGCACATTGCTGGAGTTGTGGCTCAGTGATAAAGCACTCGCTTTGCTTATATGAAGCTGAGGGTTTGATCTTTAGCACACATAAAAATAAATTAAATAAAGTTATCTTGTCCATCACAAGCAAAAATATTAAAAAATAACCAGTGCTTACAACACGAGATGGGAAGGGTTGTGCAGGTAAGAAGTGAGCACAGGAGGCTGAGGTAGGTTTCCTGAAGGAGGAGACACCTACATCTGTACCCAAATGACATAGACAGATTATATTACAACATGGAAGATTTGGAGGGCAATATAAAAGTGCCTGACTGGGAAAATATAGTGTGATATGAGAAACTATGAAATGAAGTTATAGGTTGCCCACATAAACAGAATTCAGATCATGAAGAATGCTACATAGTATCAAAATTTTTTTGATTTTTTCCCTGAAGGTTATTTTATAAAATATCCTTTGCTACTTAATAAATGAGTCTAAAACAGTGAATTAAAACATCTATTTATTTAGCTCATGCATCTGTGGCTTGGCAATTTAGATTTGTCTCAGATGGGAGTTTCCTCAGTCCTAGCTGAACTCAGTCATGCATATGATGTTAGGGACCCATAATAGGTAACTTGGCTTATGAAGAACAGCATATCAACTGGAATGAAAGGGGCAATTTTACCACATTTTTATCATTATGCATCAGGCCAGCCTGGGCTTGTTCACATGGCCACTTGCAGGCTTCAAAGATGGAGGTTGAACGCAAACCAAGCACATTAAAGTTTCAATTTAGAACTAGCCTCATTGTTTTGCACATTCTGTTGGCCAAATGGAGTTTTAAAGGCAGCTCACATTCTATTGTTGATGAAACTGACCCTATTTCTTGATTGGAGAAGGTACAAAGTCACATTGAAAGAGGTGTAAATACCAGAAGGATGGAACATTGAGGCCAGTTTGCAGTGTATCAGTGATGTGGAGCCATTGCTGAATTTTGGGCAGGGATTTGACATAATCAAATTTGACATGCTTTTACCAAGGTGTGGAAATGGATTTAGGAGGACAAAGGTGAAAGTAAGGAGAGGTGTTATTTTCTCGAAAAGGGATAGAAGTAGACAGCATTGTGTTAAGTGAGATAAACCAGACTGAGAAAGTCATTGGTTGTATATCTTCTCTCATATATGATAATTTGGGAGCAAGTAGAGTAGAAGGGATGAGTTCTCAAGAAAATTGAGGGAAAAGTAGTAGAGTAGAGGCAGGGGACCAGGATGACAGAAGAGGGAAGGGATTGGGGAGGTACTGGGGAATGAAATTGACCAAATAATGTTATGTGTGTGTAGGATTATGTAACAGTGCATCCTATTATTATGTATAATTATAATGCACCAAACAGAGTCTAATTCATCATCCCATTGGAAAACATTGAGAGCCTCATTTAAGGATAGTGTTAGTGAAGAAAGAGAAAACAGGTAGCTTTGAAGGGTAAAGAAGATATAATCAAGGAGGCTAATCCTTGATGAATATTGGGGATTAAAGAACCCAGAGAATTAAAGTGTGAATATAATATTCTGGCCTAGTACTAAACTCAGCAGTGAAGAAGTTGTTCAAAGGTGTAGGCAGTGTAGGATTAATAGCAGGTTTATTTTGAGAGATAATTATTTATGTTTTGGGAACAATGTGTTAACCCACAATGTACATGTCCAGTGGGAGGCATATTTGCCTGGATTTTAGGAGAGAAAAGTCTGGAATTTTGAAAGTCATTCGCACAATGATAGCAAGCCCCAGTTTGGGAATATATGTTATCATTCAAGAAGAGGACTTTAAGCAATAAGTAGGGATTAGGAAAGAACTCTTGGACATGCTACATTAAAAAAAAGGTGAATGGAGGAAGAGAGCTGAAGGAAGAAGATAAGAAACAGCAGTAAGAAAAGTGAGGCAGGAACAGGAGAGAACAGTATACCAAGAGCTGAGGAGAAAGACTTGGATGAATGACTGCAAGAAGAACATTAGAAAATGACTAACAAGTGGTCCTAGAAAATTACTAACAATCGATTTCATGGATAGTTTTAATGAAATGATAGAAGTCAAAGCCTGAATGAAGTGGGTAAAGTAATAAATAGGAAGTTAGAGGGAAAGAAGAAATTTAATTTCTTGCAGTAGTGTTGATTAACCCAGAGCCTTGTCTAGGCAAGTGCTGTGATACTGAGATACTACTGTAGCCCAGAAAATCCAATTTCTAGAGGTGGGGGGGAGTTAGTTCTACATTGGGAGAGACACACAAAAGAGATGAAGAAAAATGTCCTCTTGATCAATCTTTGGGTTTTTGAAAAACATTTTTTCTGTTCTTTAAGATCATCCAGAATTGATTAAAATTAGCAAATTCTTCCTTTTCCCAAAATCCCAGGTTGTGTACTTCCTTAAATAATTTCCACTCCCTTCTCACAAAATTTAGCCTTGATTTGCATCTTGGGTTAACTCTGGAAGGAGACTATGGATAACATCCTTCAGATCCCAGTATGATGGCACTTTCATGTCTTCTTTCAACTCTTCATCTTTTAGCTATTCCTGGAGACACCTAATATTTCCAAAGCATTAGAATTAAAGACTCCATTGACTGAGGAATCAAAGGCAATCTTTTTCTGTCATGCTCTCTCTAGTTGGGTAATTGAAGATGTGTAGATTTTGTCTATAGAATTCAAGAAAGCAATGTAAACAGCAATGACCTAATGCTACCAGAAAAATGATTGGTTTATGTTCTGTTTTCCAGCTTTCTTTCAAAAAAAATTCTCAGCTGCTTGAAGACAAAAATTATAAAAGATTTATAAAGGAAATGATTCACATAAACTTGAAGTGTGTAAGAATCAATTCAACCATGGAAGGTAAAACTTCATGTGCCTAGAATTCACATGACTGTAGTATGTAAGATTCCCACATCAGTATTTATGATTTTCAGGTAAAACACACTAAGTAGTGGAGTCTCCTGGTCATTCTAAGCTACAAGTGTACAATCATAGAATCTAACATCCTTTCTTTCTTTCTTTCTCTTTTAGTTGTAGATGGACATAATATTTTCATTTATTTATTTCTATGTGGTGCTGAGGATTGAACCTAGTGCCTCAGATGTGCGAGGTAGGTGCGGTACCACTGAGCTGTAGCCCCAGCCCAGAATCTAACATTCTTATTTGGATATTGAAAGTTATCCATGTGAAGCTTGATTTTGAAGAAAGATATATTGTTACTGTATTTCTTCAGACTTCTTTTATCTGAGGTTTCTGCAAGGCTAGTGTTTTTATCACATGTCAAACAATTTGATAAAAGTGAAGATGAATATATTATTGTGAATGTGATTTTTTTACCTTTAAATAACAAGTTTTAAAAACGTTTTTAAATTGACAGAAAATTTGAGCAGATGATATTAAAAGATTCTATTTTAACCCTACCTTGCAACACAGTGCCCATTATTATTAAGCTATTCCTACATAAGGATATTTGTTACAACAAGTGAACCAATATTTATGAGTTTTTCCCTTTGGTAGTAGGAATTGAATTCAGAGGTTCACACATGCTAGGCACGTCTTTATCACTGAGCCACTTCCTTAGTCCAACATTCTTGATTTTCCCAATTTTTAACTCTTGTTCTTTTTCTCTACTATAATCCTGTGCAGTCATCCACCTTCCATTTATTTGTCATCTCTCTTTATGTTTCTCTTTGCTATGATATTTTTTCAGAACTTTCTTGTTAGATTACTCTGACATTTAGGGGAACACAATTATGTACATTATTGGTTGTCTCTCTGTTAAATTTGATGTTTTTCTAATGAATATGGGGGGATTATTTGTTTTGGGGAGGAAGGGCACAGATATAAAATGCTATTCATCACATTATTGCAAGGGTATATATTATCAAAGTGAATGTTGACTATAGATGCTGAACTTGATCACCTGAGGTAGTGTTTGTCAGGTTTCTCATTGTGAAGCTACTTTTCCCTCTCCTATTCCCACACTATACAGTTCATAAGGAGGTTGCTACATGCAGCTAATGTTTTATGATAGAGGAATCATGCTCCCATTTATTAGGGTAGTGTATTATGTTAGTGTTCTCCAGAGGAAAAGAAGCAATATGAACATGGGTATTTATTTTAAGAACTTGACTCATGGAAATGTGGGGGCTTGATAAGTCCAAAATTTGATCTGGGTAACTTTCCTGCTGAAGACTCAGGAAGGAGTGGCAGATGGAGGCCAAAGGAAGTCTGCTAAGCTTTTAAAAGATTATTATATTTTCAGTGATAAAATTTCCATTTTTTACATGTTTTTTTTGTTGAGTCTACTTTTTTGTTTCTTTTTTATTAAATTATTTATTCATCCTAATTTGTTATACATGATGGCAGAATGCAATTCATTTCATATTACACATATAGAGCACAATTTTTCAAGTCACTGATTGCACACTAAGTGTGTTCACACAAATTTGTGTCTTCATATATGTACTTAGGTAATGATGTCTAACTCATTCCATCCTCATTCCTGCCCCCTTGCCCCCTCCCTTCTCCTCCCTCCTATTTGTCTTATCTAAAGTTCCTTCATTACTCCCATGCTCTCCCCTCCATCATGCCATTGAGAGTCAGCATTACTTTGTTTCTTTTTTGGGGATGGTGGTTTGTGTTAGGTACCTGAGATTGAACCTTGGGTTGCCAAATCCCTGAGCCACATTCTAGCCCTATTTTTTTTTTTAAATTTGACACAGGAATTTTCTAAGTTACTTAGGTCTCTTATTTTTTTTCAAAATTGTTTGAATCTTCTTGTTGAAGCATTTTTATCATGGTTGCTTTAAAATCTTTGTCAGATAATTCTAACATTCTTATTATCTTTTTTTTTGTTTACTGCTATTGATTATCATTTTTTTAATAAAATCGAGAACTTCCTGGTCCTTGGTATGATTAATTATTTTGTGTTGAAACTTGGATATTTCCATTTAGAGGTTTTGAAGTCTAGGTTTTATTTAAACATTATATTTTATTATTTATTCATCTATCTATCTATTTATTTATTTATTTTTCCTGATACCAGTCCAGCAGATGAAAGGGACCCTGACACCTTACTGCCTGGTGGAAGTAACTTGCCTCCTTGGCACGTGAGGAAAGGGATCTCCTTGTTATATCTGGGTGAATATGGGAGCTGCAGCTTCCATGCTATTTCCCTAGGTCTTTAAATTTAATAATACACACACTTTAAAAAAACATTTTTATATAACACACTTATTTGCCCTTCTTGCCTATAAAGGAAAAGTCTGGAGCTGTTGCCCAGAGAATTGGAAGTCATTTAGTTACAGTTGCTGCTTTTTTTCTACTGATGCAAAATCTTGGAATGACAGTCAGGAGAACCGCTCTAGAATGGAGGCTCACCTGGTGGTGATCAACAGCAAGGAAGAGCAGGTACTTTCTAAGGGACAATGGAGTCATGAGCCTGTCTGACTTTTGTACATGTCTTTGCTAAGAAGGGATATTGATGCTGTGGCAGAAGATTTCCCATAAGACAGATAGGAGAGAGAGGCTCCCTCAGACTTCACATGCCACACCTTGTTCCTTCTTCAGTGTAATTAATCTACGCCCAAGGAAATTGTGGCATTCAACATGTAGGACCTGGGGGGTTAGTGAAAAGATAAAAATGTTTCTGCGTATAGCAGCAGTTGGTTATTTCAATATATAACTGTTTTATGAATGATCAACTGCTTAACAGAAAGGAGAATTAACTTGAATAGGCAAAGTTAAATCAACAGACTCACAATCAGCAATCAGGAATGAAATTTTAAGAATGTGTGAAGTGCTGGGTTTTGTGCATGCTTTAATCCCAGGGGCTTGGGAGGTTGAGGCAGGAGTATCTCAAGTTCAAAGCAATCCTTCGCAATGTAGGAAGGCACTAAGCAATTTAGCAAGACTGTGTCCCTAATTGAAATATAAGAAAGGGTGGGGATGTGGCTCAGTGGTTAAGTACTCCTGGGTTCAATTTCGGGTACAAAATAAATCATGATGTCACAAATATAAAATGATTAAATTTGTAAGAATTTTTCATGCAAAACTTTGAAGAATGTTCTCTCAGTGAAGAAAAGAGGGAAAGTGAATTTGAGATGGAAATTCATTATGATTGTAGATAGGAATTGCTTCCATATTTAATAAAATTAAGGCTCACAGATGATGTCTTTGATCCTTTTGTGCTCAAAGACCTGCAGTTCTGAGGTCCCCATCTGGTTCTTCTGGAACTGTCTACTTTTGTTGTCATTTCTGTTTGACCAGAAAGATTTCAGTTGAAAAATAACACTGTACCTTTAAATATGTATAATTAGTTGATAGTGAAATCTTTAAGAAAATATAAAGAAGATGGAAATGTTAACTATGCCAATTTGACCATTATGCACTGTGTATATGTATCAAATTATCATGTTACCTGATAGATGTTACAATTAAAATAATAAAGAAGAAATAACCAAAAGTTCTCTATAGGTTTAATGCAATGCCAATCAAAATCCCAATGGCATTTCTTGTAGAAATAGATAAAGCAATCATGAAATTCATATGGAAAAATAAAAGACCCAGAATAGCAAAAGCAACTCTAAGCAGGAACTGTGAATCAGGCAGCATAGCGATATCAGATTTCAAACTATACTACAGAGCAATAGTAACAAAAACAGCATGGTACTGGTACCAAAACAGGCGGGTGGACCAATGGTACAGAACAGAGGACACAGAGACTAATCCACAAAGTTACAACTATCTTATATTTGATAAAGGGGCTAAAAGCATGCAATGGAGGAAGGATAGCATCTTCAACAAATGGTGCTGGGAAAGCTGGAATTCCATATGCAACAAAATGAAACTGAATCCCCTCCTCTCACCATGCACAAAAGTTAACTCAAAATGGATCAAGGAGCTTGATATCAAATCAGAGACTCTGCATCTGATAGAAGAAAAAGTTGGCTCCGATCACATATTGTGGGGTCGGGCTCCAAATTCCTTAATAGGACACCCATAGCACAAGAGTTAATAACAAGAATCAACAAATGGGACTTACTTAAACTAAAAAAGTTTTTTCTCAACAAGAGAAACAATAAGAGAGGGAAATAGGGAGCCTACATCATGGGAACAAATTTTTACTCCTCACACTTCAGATAGAGCCCTAATATCCAGAGTATACAAAGAACTCAAAAAATTAGACAATAAGATAACAAATAACCCAATCAACAAATGGGCCAAGGACCTGAACAGACACTTCTCAGAGGAGGACATACAATCAATCAACAAGTACATGAAACAATGCTCACCATCTCTAGCAGTCAGAGAAATGCAAATCAAAACCACCCTAAGATACCATCTCACTCCAGTAAGATTGGCAGCCATTATGAAGTCAAACAACAACAAGTGCTGGTGAGGATGTGGGGAAAAGGGTACTCTTGTACATTGCTGGTGGGACTGCAAATTGGTGCGGCCAATTTGGAAAGCAGTATGGAGATTCCTTGGAAAGCTGGGAATGGAACCACCATTTGACCCAGCTATTGCCCTTCTCGGACTATTCCCTGAAGACTTTAAAAGTGCATACTACAGGGATACTGCCACATCGATGTTCATAGCAGCACAATTCACAATAGCTAGACTGTGGAACCAACCCAGATGCCCTTCAATAGATGAATGGATAAAAAAAATGTGGCATTTATACACCATGGAGTATTACGCAGCACTAAAAAATGACAAAATCATGGAATTTGCAGGGAAATGGATGGTACTAGAGCAGATTATTCTAAGTGAAGCTAGCCAATCCCTAAAAAACAAATGCCAAATGTCTTCTTTGATATAAGGAGAGCAACTAAGAACAGAGCAGGGAGGAAGAGCAGGAGGAAAAGATTAACATTAAACAGAGACATGAGGTGGAATGGAAAGGTAGAGAAAAGGGAAATTGCATGGAAATGGAAGGAGACCCTCATTGTTATACAAAATTACATATAAGAGGTTATTAGGGGAATGGGAAAAAAAAAACAAGGAGAGAAATGAATTACAGTAGTTGGCGTAGAGAGAGAAGATGGGAGGGTAGGGGAGTGGGGTAGTAGAGGATAGGAAAGGTAGTAGAATACAACAGTTACTAATATGGCATTAAGTAAAAATGTGGATGTGTAACCGATGTGATTCTGCAATCTGTATTTGGGGTAAAAATGGAAGTTCATAACCCACTTGAATCTAATGTATGAAATATGATATGTCAAGAGTTTTGTAATGTTTTGAACAACCAATAAAAAAATTAAAAAAAAGAAAAGAAAAAAAGAAATAAATCCCCCAATTTTTTTCCAATATTTTTATTGGTGAATCATATTTACACATGAGAATGGGCTTTTGTTATATTATTCTGTTATATTAATACCAGTACATAGCATGATTTGGCAAATTAAAAAAAAAACAAACAAAAACAACTCAGTTCAAGCTGACTATCTAAAGCCTATGACTTCTTTTCTTTTTCCTTTCCTTTAGGATTTCATCACTCAGGATATGGACAAAAACGCTGCTTATTTTGTGGGGCTATCAGATCCAGAGGGTCAAGGACACTGGCAATGGGTTGATCAGACCCCATACAACCAAAGTGCCATGTGAGTACAGAATTAGATAAAGGAATCCTGGGTCCTGGATTATGTAGGAAGTTTAGAGTGTTCCAGCATCAGTTTTGAAACTACAACAGCTCACTCTTGTCCTTTTGCACACACAGTTAATCAATTTTATTACCTCATTGAATTATCTCAGAAGCGTAGGAGGCACAGAATATTTTTCCTATTATAAAAATGAGGAAATTGAGTTTGGAGAGTATAGATAGTTTCAGCTAAGGTCACCCAACAACAATCTTTAGAACCAGGTGGATTCTACTTTGCTTTTATAAACTCTATTTATTCTCTGTAATAAAAATTCATGTTTTTAAATCATTATGGATTATTGTGATTTAATATTCCTCATAAAGCAAATATCCTAAATTTGTATACTACTACAATATCTCATATTTATGTAATCTTTAAAGGCATTTAAATACATTAGTATACTCACACCCTTGACCCTTATATCTTCTTTGTGAAATATATAGTGCTGTTACTCTGGTCCAGCTTTTAGATGGGCAAACTGAGAATCTAAGAAATTAAGTTATTTGACTAGAAAACAGGAATAAGTAGATCTAGAGATGTAACTATTTCTTCAGACTTCAAAATCATCTCATTAAAAAGGGAAAAAAACCCTGTTTTGATACATGGGACCATAGTGACTTCTCTTCATCATATAAGAAAGCCCCATGGATTCATATTCTCCTGGCAACAGGGTCTTTGTTTAGAGGAGAGCCCATGGGTAACTTTTGGTCAAATGTTTAGTGCAATAATGTATGAGAAATTATGAGTGATGGGGGCACAATTTTCAAGATAAATGTCAGAGGTGTTGGTGGAGGAGAAACTGCATGAGAATTGGGAATGGTTTGTCTGGGCATATCAGACCCTGACTTCCACAAAGTTACAGCCCAGCCTCTGACCCCATAACTGACTTTAACCCCTTTAAAAGCAGTCTTGGAAGAATAACTTCATCCTTTTTCTCTGTTTCAGATTTTGGCATCTAGGTGAACCAAGTCATAGTGAAGAGTGTTGTGTTATAGTACATTCTCGTCCTCTATCATTGCAATGGGGCTGGAATATATACTTTGTAAAGATCGTCAATGATCAGTTTGTGAAATGATGAAAATCTATTTATGAATCAACACTTTTCATGGACATGTGTTTGAATTAGCATTCATTATTCTAGTTCAATCTCATAAGTTCTTCTTTATGAAAGACATTTCATAGACTTTTTGGTATGTGGTCAACTATTCCACTTTTGAGGAAATGTTAGTGTTGCGTATGAAATTTATCAGTTTACTTCCTACAGAGCATGTAATACAATAATTGTGGGGGTTTTTTACTTTATATACAATGAGTTTACTCCATATTATTTCTGTACCATAATGATGGTACAGAATTTTCAAAAGATACATTTTACTCAAAATGCCTTTGACTGTCTCAATAAAGATAGTAACTGAACAGGAGTGAAATGTTTTATCCTGTGTCTAGCCAGTGCTGGAACTCTTCTCTTCACTCTCCCTTGTGTTGTATGAGTGTGTTTCTGTGTCTTTTACTTATTTTTCTCTAGAGCATCTTTACATCAATGTGTGTGAACAGGTTTTATGTGAGGTTTGTGTTTAAAGATCGATATAGAATCAGAAACCATCCTACTGAGAGCTAATCATAAAAAGATGTAAGAAGTAACACAGTAGTTATGATTTTAAGCTTTAAGGTTTTTGGGTAGAATGTTCAGTACTGGGGAGAATACTTTCACATGAGTATCATTTTCTAGAAATGATAATGTTGAAGCTGGCTGATTTCTCTGAGAGTGGAGATCTGCTGACAACTGACAACCCTCTAGAGCCCTTTGGATATAAATTTTACTCCGATGAGTTAAATTCTGAAACATGGATTCTGTTACAGTATAGATATGAAGTGTCTCTCAAAAGCTCATGTGTGTGACATGAAAGAAAGTTTAGAGTTTAAATAAATGGGCTGTGAGAGCCTTCACCCAATCAGTGCATTAATCCCCTGATAGGGACTAAATAAATGGTAAGTGTAGGCATGTAGGGTGTGGCTGAAAGAGATGAGTCACTGAAGGTGTGCCTTTCAGGTTTGTATTTTGTTGTGGTGGAAGGAGTCTGCTTCCTGGTGGGCATGTCCAGAGCCACTTTCCTTCTCTAAACCTATCTTCTCTTATGGTCTGCTTCACTTTAGGCCCAGAGCAATGGGAGTTGGCTGAGACCTTTGAAATCATGAGCCCCAGATGAACTTTTCCTCCTCTAAAATTGTTTTTGGACAAGTATTTTGGTCACAGTAGCAAAAAAGCTGACTAAAACAGATGAGTAGTCCTGTGAAGAGTCCTGTTCACAATTTTGTAACCAAGAGGGGAACTAGCCTTCAAAATATACAAACACCATGGATGGCAGAGTAGAGCAATGAGAAGGATTTGGTTAATTAAGTTCTTTCTGAGTCACAGAATCGACTGTTTTCACTGTATAACATTCTGTGATTTTTTATTGTGAAGACTGACAAATTTCTAATTATTTGTCAGATTAAGTCCTGATGGATTTAAGAAAACATTACATTTAGTGACTAGATTTTATCTAGACATGGTTTATTTGAGTAAAAGGAACACACTTTCAGAGTATAGCTCCATGATTTTGTTGAGTGAATGCAAACTTGTAAACACCATGCCTATCTACAATAAAGATTTCCATCATTGCCTATTGTTCTCTGCGTTAACCCTATGAATGCAATGATCTGATACCTGGTTTTCCAGCTCTCAAATTCCATATAAACCAAATAACAATGTTTGCCTTTTCTTTCCACTTTATTTTTCTCAATATGTTTGTGTTTTTACATTGGTAGATTCAATTTTTTATGAAATTGTATTTCATTGTAATATGACCTGTTTATCTAATTTCCAGTTGGTAAACTTTGAATTATTTCTATTCTGAATAAAGCTGTTTCTTTTACATGCCTTTTTGTGTACTCTGCATTTATTATTCTTAGAAATATGCACAGAGGTGGAATATATTCATAGCACACTCTTACAGAGAATAGTATTCTTGGCCTAAAATTTCTCTGTGTCACCTATTTATGCTTTTCTTTCTCTCTGATAACTCCTGGATATGATTGAGCTTTTTATGGTTTTATGCTTTTGTCTTTTACAGATTGTCATAAGTTGGATCCTACACAGATTTTCCAGATGTCTTCTTACACTTAGTAATGTGCATTTAAGATTCCTCCATTATATTTTGCTCCATGTTGACGTTTTTATTCATTGCAGAAAATATTCTACCACAGTGTATTAATCTATTGATATATATGTTGATTGCTTCTAATGTTTGACAATTATGGATGAAGTTTTTATTTGACCTCTTGTATGGGTTTATGTTTGGGCATATTTTCAATTCATTTGGGTTGACTTGCATGTTAAGACTATGCTTAGTATTGTGGAAAACTGCCAAGCTATCTTCCAAAGTGGCTATCATTTTGCATTTTGATCAGCATTGAATCAGAGTGCTTCTATTGTTATATATTCTTGATAGCATTTAGAATTGCTAGTGTTGTGGGGTTTGTCCATTCTAATATGTTTGTGGTAGTGTCTAATTTTTTAAAATTCTTTTCCTCCCTATCAATTATACCATAAACTTCTTGAGTGAAGTGACTTTGATTTGTTCACTGTTGAGTTCTCAGAGGTTACATAGTATCTTGCCCCAAGTTGTCACTCAGTAAGTCTTGATTGAAAGAGAAAATGAGTGTCTTGGCAGGATAGGTAAAGAGTTGTCTATCATGGTCTGGGTATATTTAGTACAGGGAAAAGTGTTGGAAATGAACTGATGTTGGACATTTAAGTCACATCATACATTCTAGGTTTTGTCAGTACTGAAGTAATAGTGAGATCTTGTCATATACCTTCATCTATTTGGGTAGTGATGAGGTAAGGGAGGGGTGTTATTTGTTGGCTCCTTAAAGCCACAATCAGAAGTTCCATAAAAGATAAACTAAGGAGCTGGTGATATGGCTCAATGGTAGAGCACTTACTTAGCATGTGCGAGGCCCTGGGTTTGATTCTCAGCACCATATAAAAATAAATAAAATAAAAGTATTTTTTCCAACTATAACTAAAAAATAAAGTATTAAAAAATAAACTAAGAGGAAATATTTAATTTTAAAAATTTAAATAAAATTCTTATTTAACTGATGCATAAATTATCAAATTGTATGCAAGTATGGGGTACCATATATGTTTCAATATATGTGTGCATAGTATACTGCTTAAATCAAGTTAAATATATCTGTCTCCTTAAATATATATCACTTATTTATGTAAAATCATTCAAAATTCTTTTATTTATTTAAAAAGATTTGTTTAGTTGTAGATGGCCAAAATACTTTTATCTTTTTATTTTTATGTGGTGCTGAGGATCGAGCCTCAACTCCAGCCCTCAAAATTGTTTTTTTTTTTTTTCCCTAGCTTTCTAGTGCTTTGTAATTCAGGGCACAGAATAGTGTTTGCAGATGTTAGCAGAGGGGCTGACTTCCCACCAAAAAACCTGAGAACACTAGATGTGTACAGTCTATTAGATTCATGAGGTAAAGCTTCTGAAAAACAATTTTTTCAGAAGCAGCATTCTCCGAGCTATCCTAAAGAAGCATGTGCTATTGACAGATAGTAAGACTTTATTTCATTGTAATTCTAAAATTTCCATGCAGGGAAAACCCGAAGCCTCATTTAGATAATGTGGAAAATATAAAGGAGCATGTTGTCAGACTTCCTTGTGCAGGACAGTCTCCCATCCATGTTTTTGCTGACGTCTTTTCTCAACCAGGTCATGTATTCCCTGCCAAATAAACTGCAGCTTGCTCTTGCAGCCAGAAGGGCTTTGTGAGAGATTCCCCATTTGCAAACAATTTTGGTTCTGTGTCACAAAATTCTTGGTGTTATGTTCTGCCAGGATTCTCACCAACAGGTGGATTCATTAAGTTGGGTCACACATTCAAAGGGATGCTGTCATAGCCCACCAGTCCCTAAGACCCATGTTCTTCCTGCTTATGGGGAAGGGGCAGAACAGAAAATCAGGGCAGGTAGCAACTAAAGATCCTCAGCCTCACTGAAGTGTGGCAGACTGGCCTTGTGCAGCAACCTCAGGATGTGCATTCATTTCTCTTGCTCACCTTCTGAACCCAGGCCCAGGGTTTACTGCTGCACTTGGACACCTGAAAGATGTTTTCTGTTGCAAGGACAGTACCCTGCAGCAGCATTCCCATACCCTTTCCTGGAGACCAGTCTCCAAGAACAAGGCCAGAACTGAGCTTTGGGGTTCTTGTTCTACATTGGGCTGCTGTTGTCCAAAAAACCTTCCATTCAGGGAACTGATTCTGGGAGGACAGATCATTGGCAGGATTTGTCATATTTAAAGGGCACAGGTCCTGGAACCTTCAAACTTAGCAACTGTGCCCACAGGATCTCTATTATGCCTCTATGTGTTTTTACTTGTCTGGGTTTCACAGCCTAATTTGTATTGAAATCAGTCATTGAGTACTTTATTTCAGTTATTTTATCCTTTAATTCTAAATTTTCTTCAAAAATATCCATTTTTTTAATCAACACATTAATCAAGCATATTATTAAGATTCACTGTGATATTTTCTTAAGCCCATACAACCTGGACTGATCATATCTTTATGTTCTTCTTATACTCCCTCCACCCCAGCAGCCTTCCCAGTTGCTAGTAATCAAAATTTTACATTCAGGCCAAGCTTTTAATGTCATTTTCTAAATATGAGAATATATGTCTTCCTATGTCTGGTTTATTTTGCTTACCATAATTTCCTACAGTTGCTTCTTTGCCAAAAATTACAGGACATTTTTCTTTTTTATGACTAAATAATACTCCATTGTGTATTATTATCATACTTTCTTCATCTTTCTGTTGGTTAATGGGAACCTAGGCTGATTGCACATTTCAGCTATTGTGAATAGTGCATGCAGGTGTCTCTTTTGCATGCTGACTTCATTTCCTTTGGCTATATACCAGGAGTAAGATTGATTGATCATATTTTAGTTCCATGTTCAGTTTTTGAGGAATCTCTATATTGTTTTTTATAGTGATTGTACCAATTTACATT